GGCTGGGACATGCCAAGAATTTGGAGAGTTGGGAGGGGCGATAGAGCTTTGCTAAGGGCTCTAAGAAGGTAATTCTGTTATCCTGCAGCTGGCTGGGAACTAGGATGTGGCCACTGTGGAAATAAGGCTGAGGCCCAGCTGTCTTCTCATCAGAGGAAGAGAAACAGGCTAGTCCGGCCTACAGCTCTGGACTTAAATGCCTGCTGTTCTTTTAGGTCCGCCAACCAGGAGAGACTGGGATTGTTCCCTTTCTTTGGTTCCTTTCCCTGTTGTCTGCTTTAAATTCTTTTTTGTGTTAGCTGTTCTATATCTATATGGAGGAGCATGTGGGGACCCATTCAGTCTACAGAATCGGTGTGAATAGCTTTAAATAGAGGGCACCAGAAAGAACATAGAATTGAACAGTAGAGTTGGATGGAGTCTAGGCTTCTGGGTGTCTCCCTTTCCCTGTGGATCCTAGAAGCAAACTATCACCTTTTATTGCCCTTGAGACTGGGTACTTTGTGCTGGTTTGCTGACTAGCATAGGAGGTGAAGGGCGATAAGAATGGATGTGAACTGGGTGTGGTTATTGTTGGCCCTAGGAGATGGGAAAATCTCTCACCCTGGCTTTCCTGGACTTTCAGGCATCAGACACACAAGTCCTCGGGGTCACCTGAGTCAGCCCTATCTTCTTGGGTGTCTTAGGGTGGATTTGTAAGGATTAATGTAGAAGGGAGGCTTGTGTTAGATCTGAGGCCGCTGCTGACTGGTGATCAGACATCTTGCTGGCCTGGTTTTCCTATTAGTTCTTCTCCGCCCCCTTTTAGAACTGATGGGAGCAAACGATTTCATGAAGACAGACTATGAGAAAGACAATGCAGTGTTGAAGGGGTCTGCAAGGAAAAGGTGTCAGAATTGGTTTTTGTTGTCTTGTTTTGTTTTTGCAGTGACTTCTCCTTGCAGATTGCTCAAATCTGGAATCACAGGCCGCTTCCTCTGAGACAAGGATGAGGGCCTTCAGGGTTCCGACCTTGGAGTCTCTAAGCTGGACCCTAGCTTATCCCCTTCCACCTGCCTCTTGGATTGTCCATTATGTCACCTTGCAGATCTGCTTCCCAGAAGCCCACGACTCATCTCCAAGGTCTTAAGAGTTTCGGAGGCCTGCAGGATAGCCCTGGTGACTGAGGTGTTGTTGATCCTGGCCAGAGGCTCCCAGAAGTCATCGCATCACTACCTTTTGATCTAAAATCCAGTTTAGGAGGCTGAGGGGTTGAATAGCCAGTGTGGGAGGCAGAGTTGGAGCGTGAACCCCACAGGCCTGACACTCCCTGGAGCTCGCAGATCCTGGAGGAGAAGGAGGCTCGGTGTTTCTGAGCCTCAGAGAAAAGCACAGTGCAAACAGTGTTGGGGTCTTTCCTGAAAGTGAGTGGGTTGAGTTTGTCTGTGTGGTTACTCCATGGGATAATTAGGGCAGGTAACTCTTCTAGTCAGAGTTTTTCAGTTTTATTCAAACACATGGGTACCCTCCACCTGCTAGCCCCACCTGAGATGAATCAGAGAAAGTCCTTGCCTCAGGGTACTTATCATCTAGGATTACAAATACCCCAGGTCTGGGAGAGTGGTTGCCAATTAACAGATGAGTACAGAGCATCCCAGAAATGTAGGCTGGTCAGGAGACTCCCAAGAGTAGGAGGTGGAGACCTTTAGGCTGATCTGGAGGGATGGGTCAGAGCAGCACTGGGTGTGGCCTGGGAAGAGGGCCGGCTCTGGAAATGCCTCATGCTGTGCTTTGTTCAGGAGCTACAGGAGGAGTGATGTGTGAAAGGAGGCTGAGTGAGGAAAGCGTGTGAAGCCTTTGAGGAATTCTAACAGAAATGTTATGAGCCTGTAGTGATGTGTTGTAAGTCAGGATATGTTGAGTTGGAAAAATGTTTGTGAAACAAAGTGAGCATGCATTGCAAAATGATACTTATAGTGGGATTAAAAAAAAAAATTTATTAGCAGATATATATATATAGATAGATAGATATATCTAGAGAGAGAGAGAGAGAGATCTGTCCACTGGATCACTCCCCAAGTGGCCACAATGGCCAGAGCTGAGCCGATCCAAGGTCTGGAACCAGGAGCTTCTATTTTTTTTTTTTAAGATTTATTTATTTATATTACAAAGTCAGATATACAGAGACGAGGAGAGACAGAGAGAAAGATCTTTTGTCCAATGATTTGCTCCCCAAGTGACCACAACGGCTGCTGCGGTGCCAATCCGAAGCCGGGTACCAGGAACTTCATTCCAGGTCTCCCACACGGGTGCAGGGTCCCAAGGCTTTGGGCCATCCTCAACTGCTGTCCCAGACCACAAGCAGGGAGCTGGATGGGAAGTGGAGCCACCGGGATTAGAACTGGCGCCCATATGGGATCCCAGTGTGTTCAAGGCAAGGACTTTAGCCACTAGACCAAGCTGCCGGGCCCTTTATTTATTTATTTATTTTTAACCAGGTGCTTCTTCCGGGTCTCCCATGTGAGTGCAGGGTCCCAAGGCTTTGGGCCGTCCTGCACAGCTTTTCCAGGCCACAAGCAGGGAGCTGGGTGAGAAGTAGAGCAGCTGGGATATGAGCTGGTGCCCATTTGGGATCCTGGCATGCACAAGGAGAGGGCTTTAGTCACTAGAGTACTCACCGGGCCCAGGGGTCCTGTTTTTTCATTTTAAAAACTATACATACATTGATAGACAAGGTAAGGTCTACAAAGATATTTATCTCTTGGAGTTAACAATGGTTTCCTCCTAGGGTTGATATCTGCAGGTTTTCTTTTTAATGTTTGTATGTTTCGTGACTTTCCTGTAGCTTACATGTATATTAAGTTTATAATTAGAAGTCATTTTTAAGTGAGCACATATTACACGGTGGCATTTTCAAAAAGTCCATGGGAAATGGGTATTATGAAAAGCCGAATGGATTTTTACTTTTTCTCACCAAAAATTATATTTTAAAATTATTATTTGTTTTCATTATATTTGAAAGGCAGAGAGCTGGAGAAAGAGAGAGAGGGAAAAAAAGCCCTTTGTCCGCTTGATCAATCACTAAATGCCCACAATAGATGGGGCTACACAAGGCTAGAGCCAGGATCCTAGAATTCAGCCTAGGGTGTCATGATGGAGGTATTTGAACCAGCACCTGCTACTGCCCAGGGTGCACATTAACAGAAAGCTGGAATTAAAGGAGCCAGGACTTGCACCTAGGTGCTCTGATTCGGGCTATGGTACCCCAGGTATTGCTGCCCTGTTCCAAATGCCCACTCCGAAACATTTTTTCATTCGATTTGTCCACAGACTTTTTGAAGTACCCTTGTGTGGCAGCTAGGGGATATGAATTAGAAACTTCCGCTAATTGAATAAAAAGAGAGGAATAGGTGGCTGGACAGCTGCATGGCTGCTGCCTGTAAACTGGATGATTAGCCCCTTAAGTGCCTAGTCTTCGGAGAATGGACTAGCAGCCTACCATATATCCACCTGCTGGAGTATCCTGCCACTAAACCTGACAAATATGTAGATGGTTGATATTGGAAATGGATATATGGGATGGGTAAAATGAGGCAGAACATAATATAGCACAGTTTGTATCAATTTGTAGCTGTGTCAAAATGTAGGCAAACACTTATCTGAATTTAAAGAATGCAAATGGCATACTTAATGTCTGGGTTGCAGAAAAACAGAAGTAACTTAAAACTTATTTCTGTTACCTTATTCATGGTACCTCATGAAAGTAGAATCATGAAGCTGACCTCTTTGAAAGAGCATCATGTGTGTTGCAATGTGTTTGGATTGCCTTCCTTTAGAAGCCTGAGTGACATGTCGTGGTGTGGATAAACCGCATTTTGTTGATTCAGTCCCTCCATTATCGGTAGCCAACTGGCGCTGCTTCCACCACTGACCTGTTATGGGTGGCATTGCTGTGAACACAGGTGTACAAGGACCCCTTCAAGTTCTTGCGTTTAGCTCTCTGAGGGGGATCACTGGAGTTCCACGTTTAAGTTTTTGAGAGGCTGCCAACCTTTTAGTGCCTTTCTAACATAAAACCCTTTGAGTTTATTTATACCTAGAGTCCCCAGTTCTCTTTGCTGGCTTAATATACACATAAATCATCAAGGGATGACTACAGATGTGAAGGCATTTTGTTCTGTTTAAAGGAGAGAGCCTTTGTAGATCTTAAGATAGTGGAGTGTTTTGAATGTGGCCATGGAAAACAGGTTCTACCCAGATGACTGAAATTTCCAGATGATTCCAGAACACTTACATTTTATCAACAAGTTTCAGCATCTTTTGCTTCTTCCAAAAAGCTTTAACCAAGGTCAAAACAAAATGAATGGATTTATAATTGCTTTTTTTTTTTGGTCCCATTTAGATGGAAATCAGCAACAGGCAGAGAGCTACAAGATTTGTATATTTTCCTAAACTGGATTCCTCAATCCTGGGTAGTTGAGGGTGGTCGTATCCTTTCTTTTGACTCAGTTATATAGCTCTCAGAAGCTGACCATGTTGGTGAAGGGGAGGATGTTAAGCCCTTTGTTAATGGGGTGAATTTGGGTCATGCATAGAAACCCTGGAATGACAGCTGGAGTTAAGAAGGACAGGGAACAATAACAACAAAGAGGAAAACGTTGGGTTTTGTCCGTGTAGACTTCTTGCTGTAGTGGTGGGAAATGGTACTACCCTGGGGGAAATATTCTTGAGACCTAGGGGCTGTGAGGAACAGGAAAAAGATGTGGGGCCAGGAGCAGGGGTGCATTCATAGAGCAAGAAGGTAGACACTGTTGTTCCTGGAGGTCAAGGCCAGCTGGTTAGGTCTGGAAAGTTCTTGCATACTCTCTGGGCTTCTCTAGGTGCCCCAGCCTCCAGGAGAAAGGGGTGGGGTGTCCATGAAGATGTGGTTTCCAGGAGAAGCTTCCTAGAAGAGGAGTCTGGCTGCCACATCTGCTTCCTCCCTGCTGACGTTAAGGGGTGCGGGCTGTGCTCTTTTCCAGCCAGTGTCCCGGGTGCGGTGGCCCCAGAAAAGTCAGTGTGTAGGCCTCAGCCACCCCAGGTCCGACGTACATCCTCCCTGGACACCATTCTCAGCTCCTACCTTCTGGGCCAGTGGCCACGTGATGTTGATGGGGCCTTCATCTGCTGTACCAATGACAAGGCCACCCAGGTAATGACATTCTGTCCTAATGGGGTAAGGGAGAAAGCTGGGATGGGAGGGCAGGCTGAGGAGTCTTTTGGTTTCCTATAAACCCCTTAGTGATTCATGATTTATTCTGGAGTTTGATTGGACGTGTTCACCACGTGGTTTTTCCTCTTCTCGTGTTTACCATCTTGTTTTAGTTTGTAAACTTACATGACCATGAATTTGCATTGAACCTGCCTCCTGGAAGAGTGAAGTCAGTCTGGGTTTTCCAATTTGGCTTTGAGTGTTCATGTGTGGCAGATCAACAGCTGATTTTGGAATTTATTCTAGGTTTTTAAAGAGTCAGATTTACTGTGCTCACTTTGACGACACATAATTAGAAGGATACAGAGAACACCAACATGGCTTCTGTGTAAGGATAACACAAAGAAAATCAGATTTACCTTGCTAAAATTAAGCTAAGGCCAGCAATCAATTGAGTTTGCATTCCCCAGACAACTGGAAAATGTGACCAAGAAGTGCTCTGAGCCAGGCTAGACCCATTAGAACAATGAGAGTGGCAAGTTCTTGTATAAGAGTTATTTCCTGCCAGCATCCCTGGCTAGGATTTCTTTGGTATTCTTCGTTAAGACGGGCTTTTGATTAAGAATCTGAGGCTTGAGTGCCAACGTTGTGGTGTAGTGGGTAAAGCCACCACCTGAGATGCCACTGTTCCATATGGCTGCCAGTTCAAGTCCTGGTTGCTCTAATTCTGATCCTGCTCCCTGCTAATGGCCTGGGAAAAGCAGTGGAAGATGGCCCAAGTGCTTGTGACCCTGCATGCATGTATATAGTTCCTGGCTCCTGGCTTTGGCCTGGCTCAGCCCTGGCTATTGTAACCATCCCTGGAGTGCACCAGCCTGGAAATGAACCAACAAATGGAAGATCTCTCTCTGTTGCTGTCTCTCTTTCAAATAAATAAGCAAATCTTTTTAAAAAAAAAAATCAAGAGGAATCCTAGGCTTGGAAGGACTTTCCATAGCCCATTCAGTGCATTTGCCTATTTTAGGATAAACTCTGTTAGTCTGAGCAAGAAGTGACCTCACATATGAAGTCATACAAAAATGCTTCTTCATCTGGTCAAGTCTCCCTGCCCCCTCCGCTGTAAGATTCCTTTGTTTATTTGAAAGAGTAAAACAGAAGAGGGAGAGGGAGAGATCTTTTGTCTACTAATTTATTACCCAAATGCCACAGTGGCCTTGGCTAGAGCCAGGAACTCCATCTGGGTCTTCCACGTGGGTAGCAGGGGCCGAAGTGCTTGCACTATCAATCTCTTGCTTCCCAGTTGCATTTATAAGGAACTGGGTTGGAAATGGAGCAGCCAGCAATTAAACCTGTACTCTGGTATGGGCTGCTGGCATTGTAAGTGTGACTTAATCTGCTAAACTGCAACAGTTACCCCAGGTCTCCGTTTTAATGCAGTTTGTACCCATTCCTGTTCATCTTGAAAATAAATGAGTTGGGGCCCAGTGCAATAGTGTAGTGGTTAAAGTCCTTGCCTTGCATGCGCCAGGATCCCATATAGGCGCCAGTTCTAATCCCGACAGCGCCACTTCCCATCCAGCTCCCTGCTTGTGGCCTGGGAAAGTGTTTGAGGATGGCCCAAAGCCTTGGGACCCTGCACCCATGTGGGAGATCCAGAAGAGCTCCTGGCTCCTGGCTTCAGATTGGCTCAACTGCGGTTGCGGTTGCTTGGGGAGTGAACCATTGGATGGAAGATCTTCCTCTCTATCTCTCCTCCTCTCTGTATATCTGCCTATCCAATAAAAATAAGTAAATCTTTTTTAAAAAAAAAAGAAAAAAAATAAGTGAGTCATGCCTAAATGAAACAGAAATGGGATGAGCAGAACCTCTGGCTCAGAGGCTGTCCTGCATTCTGAGGGATTGTGAGCAAGTCAGCTCCTCCTTTGCCAACAGGGTGGAGCGTGCCTGCTGCTCTGCTGCGCGTAGGTGGTGTGACAGGCGAGCGACACGTGAAAGTGCTGTGTGCAGCTCACACCACGCCTCCTCTCAGCCCATCATATCACTTCCTTTCTTTTTCTGCATTTTTATGGGCTCTGTTCTCAAAGGCTCTTAGTGGGGCTTGAATGCCCTGTGCTGTTCTGGGCCTTTTGGAATGAGGCATATGGAAATGAGGATAAGACTTGGCCCCTGGGAGGTTGGATTCCAGTTCTATGAAGGCCAGTGGACAGGCAGCCAAGGCGGGAGATGGGGCCAAACGTCTGGCAAAATGCGGAGGAGGGGACTTCTCATGGGAATGCCCCACCTTGAACCAGCAAGAATTTGCTGCAGTTGGATTCCACAGGCCCCAGTGAACGCCTAGGGAGAGCACCCTGGAAGCGGCAGGGTAGGCTACTTCTGGGCAGCCCTAGGCACTATTGCTCCCTTTCTACTTAGCTAAGGGCCAGCAGGATAGGTTTTGCTTCACCCTCCTGGGTCTGGGAGTATACATCTCTTTCCCCTGTCAGTGGGGGTGCTCAGGTCAGGTGATCCCTCTAGGCACGGAGGGTTTCTCTAGGAACAGGACTTGAGGTTGCTTCTGGGGTGCAGGCCCATTTGTCACATGGCTTCTGTGGTACTTACCTACACCCATCTTTTCCTGCCACCAGCCTTCTAGGACTTCTAGCCTTCTAGGCTTCTCTTTGGTCAGCTCAAGGCAGAGCTAGCCTCGGATGGTCACTGGCCTGCTGGAGAGGCACAGGCTCCGGGCTGTGTGTTTTTCACTCCAACTCCAGCTGCAGGCCAGATCTTTTATATAATAAGTCTGGGCTGCTTGCCACAGCAAGACAGAGGTCAGCACTGCGCCTCCATGGGTCTGGCAAGGCCAGGCCATACCACTTTCCTCTTTCCCTGGGATGGGCTCCAGCCCTCGAGGAACTCTTAGCAACCTGTCAATATTGTGAATGCACTCAGGAGGTGGGAGGACTCCCTTCCATGGAGGCATCCAGACCAAAATACTCACTCTGCCCATCTTTCGCTGCTGGCCTGCTGGGAATTTTCTGCTTCTAGGTTTTGGGCTCCATTCAAATTCCTGCTCAAGGCCCCTGGCCTGGCACAGGCTGCCTTCTTCAACACTGATGTTACACTAGGAAGGTCCAAGGCTGCATGATGTCTCCCGAAGTAACTGGTGTTTCTTCCCTTGCTGGATCCCCTGGGACTGTCACCCTGAAAGGACTAGAGCTGGAGGAGAGCTTCCATGGGGAGATATGGGGGCACCCAGAGAAGGGGAGGAGGAGGGAGGCATGCAAGTGTTGATGCTGCTAAAGACATTAAAGAGCCTTTCCCCAGTTGTTATGGCCCAGAGGGGGTGAGGAGATGCTTACCCCCACACTACCTTCTATATCCAGTCTCTCCTAGCTGCACCATGCCTACATGCTCTCCAACTCATCCCAAGTTCCCTCCGCCCACCCCAAGCTGTGCAAGGCAGCAGTAGGTTGAGCATCTGGAGGGCGCAGCAGCCCTGGCACTCCCGGCAGTAGAGAGGTCAGGGACCAGAGTTGAAGTTTAGGCTAAGCAGCTCCTTTTCCTGAATTCCCTGGAGGAAGCCAGGGCTCTGTCCCAAACAAATTCCAGACCTGAGTGCCAAACACCATCTTTGATACCTGCTGTTTAGCTGGCCAGCCAGCCAGCAAGACACATGGCCTTAGCGTCAAAGGTGGAGTTGAAAATGTTTAGGTCCTGAATCCCGGTATTGTCAGCAGTCCCAGGGGTCCCTTCCAGGTTGTGTTTTAAGCTCTTGGACATGGACAGGTACAAAAGATGGTCCTTAGGCAGAGGACTGTTGCTATAGAGAATAGGCCACCCAGATAGCTGGGACAAGGGGGCTGGGGTGGGTGGCTCTAACTTAGGAAGTTGTTCTAAGCTGGAGGAGGAGAGCTGTGGAGATGCAGCGTGTCTGAAGCAGGGGGAGCAAGGGGAGAAGGGTGGCAAGGTTCATAGAGAGCAGCCTGGTAAATGTAGGCATAAGTGTGGGGCCCACAGGAGCTGGACGCACAGCAGTGGACCAGGAGCCACAGAGAAGGTGGCTAATTGGTCATCATCCCAAGAAGATTTCTTTGTCTCTTGGGGGACTGAATTGAGATTTTTTTTTTCCAATTCTGGCTAAACATGTTCCCTTCTCCTGAGCACCCTCCTGCTAGGTCAACTGGTAAACCAGAGCTAACCCTTCCCTGCCCTCTAAGTGCTCTGGGCCTGCCCCTCCCGGGGACTGTACCCAGGCTGAGGTGGGTGGTAGCAGCACGTACTGGTGACTGCAATCGTCTCTCTCCCATCTTGCACTGCAGAACGTTTGCATCTGCCGGCTGTGTCTTCTAGAGGGAGGAAGTGGCCTCACCGCAGCTGGAATGATCGTTTGAACAAAGTTCCCCTGTTGCCCTCATCCTGCTGACAATGGCAGGGGACCCTGAGTACCTGCCCAGCCCCACCCTGTCCTCCTCCGCCCTAGCATCTGTTCTTCTGCATTCTCTACCATGTGATGTTTCTGTTCTCTGGCCCTGCCTCACAGGACATCATGGAGGCCACAAGGGAAAGTGGGCCTGCTGCTGCTGCGGAAGGACTTCCTTCCTCACTGTGGGCCACCCTCCGCCTTTGCCCAAGCCATGCCCGAGCACCGGTAACAGAGCGCCCATACCAGGCCCTCTGAAAACTACATTACTGGTGGGCCTGAGGGCCTGATCACAGAATCTGTTTTCTAAAACTGGGGTTAGTTGTTCAGCTTGTGTTCAACCAAATATTTGGAAAATGGGGCTATGATGGAAAATCTGAGGGCTCCACAGTCACAGTAGGGCCAGAGATAGTGGTCTGGGCCACCTGCCACCAGTGTCCTCAGTGCTGGCCAGCTGACCCCTCACAAGGCATTTTCCTTCCTTTTTGTTTGGCAGAGTCCTGAGGAACCAAGTCCCTGCTGAATGTCAGCCTGGTCTGACCATCGAAGCCAGGATAAGACCCATGCTGCTGTTGCTTCCACACAGGTGTAGGATGGGTTATGTCCCCAGAGCTTCATCAGGTGCAAGGTCACCAAAGACAAAGGGCCAGGGCCCTTCCTGCCGCTAGTCAGAGTCTAAGCAGAAACTTTGCTGAGTTGAGGGCCAAGCAAGAGACTGCAGTGTGCAGGTGTTGCAGCTCTAAGCTGTCCCTTCCTGTCAGGCTTAGGGGCTCTCGGGGACCCTGTCAGGCGTGCCCTTCCTCACATCTCCTTCCTCACATTGCTCCAGGCTCTCTGAATCCCAGGCAGGCCTTCCTGGGCCTGAGCACATCTAATTCTGCCTAATCGGACTATCTGCACAGCTGGCTGATGCCACTCAGAGTTAGTAAGCAGCCCTGCTTCCCGTCAGCTGCTCCCCTGGGCCCGGTGCTAAACAAAGCTGATCCAGTGTGTGAGTCCCCATGACAGACGTGACTGTCTGGTCTGCTGGGCGCAAGCCCTGCCCTGCTTCCAAAGGCTCAGCTCAAATGCCTCCTTCACTGCTGCCAGGCAGTGTAGCTTGACTCCTGTGGTGGCAAGAGGGTAGCACTGTGAAGGCTGGCCTCCTTTAGCTGTGATTGCTGTGTTCTGAGGATGCCTTAGACTAGACCTGGGTTAGACGCAGGAGGGGAGAGGCCTGTCTAGCTAGAGGCACCAGAAGTCCTCGAGTTGATTTGTACTTTGAAAGTTAGAGTCATGAGCCCAGCACAGTGGCTAAGTGCTAGGATCCTGTGTAGGTGCTGGTTCGTGTCCTGGCTGCTCTGCTTTCCTTTCACCTTCCTGCTTGTAGCCTGGGAAAGCAGGTGAGGACGGCCCAAAGCCTTGGGACCATGCACCAATGTGGGAGACCCGGAAGAAGCTCCTGGTTCCTGGCTTCAGGTCAGCTCATCTCCAGCTGCTGTGGTCACTTGGGGAGTAAACCAGCAGATGGAAGATCTGTCTCTCTGTCTCTCCTCTCTGTTAATCTGATCTGCCTTTCCAATGAGAATAAATGTTTAAAAATAAATAATAAATATGAAAGGCAGAGTCATGGTGTTGAAAAAAGAAAAAGATATCTTCCATCTGCTGGTTCACTCACCAAAGGCCTACAATAACTACAAATAGGCCAGGTCCAGGCCAGGAGCTTCCTCTGAGTCTCCTTCATGGGTGGCAGGGGCTCAAGCACTTGGGTCATCTGCTGCCTTCCCAGGCACAGGATCCAGCAGGAAGTTGAGCAGCCAGGAATTGAACCAAACACTCCCATGTGGGGTGGAAGTGTCTTGAGTGGCTGTTTCACCTTGCCTGGGCCCGTCCCATCTGTGGATGCAGTGGTTTGGTTGGAGAGGTTCAGGTCCGTGCCTTAAGGACACTCAACACCAGCTTGTGAATGGCTTCCAATGCAGCAGAATCTTTCTTTCCTTCTTCTTCTTCTTCTTTTTTTTTTTTTTAAGAATTATACTTTTTTAATGCAAAGTCAGATATACAGAGAGGAGGAGGGACAGAGAGGAAGATCTTCCGTCCGATGATTTGCTCCCCAAGTGACTGCAACGGTAGGTGCTGTGCCGATCCGAAGCCAGGAGCCAGGAACTTCCTGCAGGTCTCCGATGTGGGTGCAGGATCCCAAGGCTTTGGGCCATCGTCGACTGCTTTCCCAGGCCACAAGCAAGGAGCTGGATGGAAAGTGGAGCTGCTAGGATTAGAACCGGTGCCCATATGGGATCCTGGCGCGTTCAAGGCGAGGACTTGAGCCACCAGGCCACCATGCCAGGCCCAAAACAAGAAATTTCTTGTCTTATAGTTCTGGAGAACAGAAGTTCAGTTTCACAATGTTGAGATCAAGGCATTGTCAGGGCCGCACTCCCCCAGAGGCCCTTGGGGAAGGTTCTTTTCTTGCCTCTTTCAGCTTGTGCTGGCTGCAGGCATGCCTTTGCCTGTGGCCGCATGACTTGAGCTGCTACCTCCCTGTCGCCTCACCGTACCCTCTCCTCTGTGTAATACACCTCTGCCTGTCACATAAGGACACCTGTAAATGACATTTAGGACCTGCCTGAAAAATCTAAGATGGTTTTCCCATCTTGAGAAGCTTAACTTAGTCACATATGCAAAAAAAAAAAACTTGACCATGTGAGGTAACACCCATGGGTTCCTGATAGCTTTGTGGGGGAGTTTTTTTTTAACCTGTCACTTCTCTGGTGGCTCTGCACCAAGTCTCTCTGCGAGTCACACTAGCCTCCTCCTTCTCATTTTCTGACATGGCTGGCTTGCGACAGCCACTGCTGTTCCTGTCCAGCTGCTCTCGCCTTGCTCTGCACATGGCTTGTGCCCTTCCCTTCTTCATGTTTTCAGTCAGAGGTTTCCTCATCTTCAAAGACATGCCTGGCACGTGCAATTGTGCTCCCTTCTCCACCATTCCTATGGCCTCACTGCTGTGTTTTTTGCCTAAGCGCCTAACGCTGCTTAAACAGTGCCCTTAGTGAACACATAAATGCAGAGGGCACCTGGAATGGCTTGGCACACAGTAGGTCTTCAGGAAGTGCTGATCGAATGCAGGAAGGATGTAGACTGCATTGAGGAGACAGAGCATGGAGCCTGTCAGCACAGACCACATGAATTGGGAAAGGGTATCTCCAATGAGGCCGTCCTCTGTGGGGAGAGCAGGCCTAGAGGTTGTGGGGTGGATACCAGAAAGGCAATGGGATGCGTCCCCCCAGGAAGAACAGAGAGCCCAAGGATGAGGGGCAGGACAGTGGTCCTGTGGCCAGGCCATGAGGGCTGCCCTGTGGAGTGCATCTCACACCCAGGAAGCAACGGCAAGCAGAGGGACTGGGGACTGAGCAGGGTGGCCACAATCTCACATCATTCCTGACACCAGTGCTACCCCACAGCAATTCCTGACCCTGTCACATGTCCCCAGAGAGAGGAAGGTGGTCCCAGGGGCACAGGACCTTTTAGCAGAAGTAGCTGCAGCCTAAGTGGGACTGCATCTCCTGCCTCTCGCCAGCCACTTGTGACTACAGTGTCTCCTCCCAGAGGAGGGAGAATGGGCATTGCCAGCTTCGCTTCCGACATCCCTTCTGCATTCGCCCACCTTGGCAGGGACACCAGGCTTGGGAATGTACTCAGAGTCTTGATGAGCCCAGAGGGAACCTCTGGGACTGGGAAGAGAAGACATTCATGAATCTGTGGGGCAAGGAGCACTTGGACAAAGGACCTTCTTGCACTCTGCAGTGCAGGCAGCAGCCTTTTCTGAGGCTCTCATAACCCCACTGAATGTCCACACTCCACCCAGGCTAGTTTCAGTCCACAGGCTTGGGCTGTGTGCTCGAGGCAGGGGCCTGGAGCCTGTGTGTGTACCCTTTCCTCAACTGAGGCAGCTGCGGCTGGCGTGAATCGCAGACGTCCCTCCTGACCCTAGGATCCAGAGAAGGAGGTCAGGGCAAATGTCTCTTCCCGGGCTGTGTCTGTCATGCAGCCCAGAAGGGGTCCTGGTCAGTGGATAGCTGGGAGCAGGAGGAGCCGGGGGCTGGTTCCTTGGCAGCCCTCTCTACCGCAGCTGTCGCCAGGGGCAGTCTGCCCTCACAGCCCCCTGGAGCTCCTCCCGGCAGCTGTCAGGTGGCAAGTAGCTATGCTCTCCACCTCGTCCTCCCCTTTTTTTGTGTCCAGGGCCCTCATGTTTCTGGCAGCTTTGCACAGAGCCCAGAGAGCAGCTGGTTTTGCTGGAGCCTCCCAGCTCTGGCCCCTGCCTGGGGTGGACATGGGGACATTGGAGCTGGGAAGGGAGCTGGGCCTCCCACTTGGAGCCAACAGCTTCTTCCTTTGGTTGCGGGTTCAGGAAATGTTTTTTTTAAGCCCCCTGCTGCCCATATGCAGCCTTCTTTCTGTGTTCTGGGCATTAAGGGAGAAGGTGGCCGACTGAGAGCCCTTCGTGATACATGGCAGAGCAGACCCCAGGAGAGTTCAGGGCCGGATTCCAGATTCTAGTTCTGTCCCTTCAGAAAACTGCTCCTTACTCTCTGTTATGGAGGACTTTGGGATTCCCAACTCTTAGCATGTGTGCAAGGGAAAAATCCAAGAGCCAGCAGGAGGCCTCATACAGCATAGGTGTCCCTGCTTGGGTTGGTGGAGGCAGGAACCAACGTGACACTGGGGGTCTGGCAGCTGGCCTGTACTGAGCATGTCCTGGCAGAGTGCAAGACATCAGGAACATCAGTAGATGTGTTGAAGTCATCCCAGAGCAAAGGGAAGTTGGCCTATTGGGTGGCCAGGGAAGAAATTCCAGAGAATGGAAGGTGGGGAAGGATGCAGAGCAGGCCGAGGATGAGTATTCAGCAGGTGGGTGTCTTCCTGGGAAACTGCACTTGCTTTCCCCCTGCCCGGGAAGCCACTCCACCTCACTGTTCTCTCCCTGCAGACCCCTCTGTCCTGGCAGGAACTCGATGGTGAACGGACCAGCTTCTGTATACACAAGCGCTCAGCATCCTGGGGCAGCACAGACCACCGAAAAGAGGTACTGACTCCTGGCTAGAACAGCTGCCCCTTCCCTCCCCTAGGCTGCACACCTGCGTCTGTTTGGAAGTGCTACCTGCAGGGCTGACCACCACTCTCCTGGTCTTAGCCCAGGCTTTCCTGCAAGGGAGGCCCTTGGCCACTGCTGCTGGTGTCTTCCAGCAGCCCCAAGCAGGATGGATCCAGACAGAAGGAGCCCAGAGATAACAGGGCACAGACTCCTGGGAGTAAGGGTCCCCAACTCATTCACCATATGCACTGTTCAGCCTGAGTTGGATTATGCATATCCCAATGCTTTTTCCTGGTTGTGCCTCTGCCTTAGGAGGGCTCAAGTCATTGAGACTACGTGGGGGAAATCATGGGCTACACTCCTGGGGCTCAACTTTCACCCTTTCCCCCCCCCCCCCGAATCCTGCTAATGTACCTGCATGTAACAGATGATGATCCACGTGGCTGGGTTTCTACTACTCATGTTGGATACCCAGATAAAGTTCTGGCCCCCTGGATTTGGCCTGACCCAGCACCAGCTGCTGTGGATGTTTAGAGAGTGAATCAGTAATAGAAGATCTCTCTCTCTCTCTCTCTTTTGCTTGCTCGTTCTCCAACACTCTGCCTTTGAACTAAATAAAAATAAGCAACTTTTAATTTTTTTAAAAAAAGGACTTATTTTTATTGGAAAAGCAGATTTACAGAGAGAAGGAGAGTCAAAGAGAAGGATATTTTATCCTCTGGTACACTCCCCAAGTGTCTGCAGTGGCCAGAGCTGAGCTTATACGAAGCCAGAAGCCAGGAGCTTCCTCTTGGTCCTCTGCATGGATAAAGGGTCCCAAGGCTTTAGGCCATCTTGTACTGCTTTCCCAGGCCACAGAGAGAGCTGGATTGGAAATGGAGTAGTTGGGACACGAACTAGTACCCACATGGGATGTTGGTACTTACAGGTAGTGAATTAGGTAGTTGGACTGGTACACTAGTCCCAGCCCTTCACCTTTTCCCAGAGGGTGCTTTTCTGCCCACCTGTCGATGAGAAACCACAAAGTGAAGGCATTGGCAATTTGAGGCTGGGAGGAAGTAAGCAGATATTTCAGGTTCTTAGTGATGCGAATGGGCAAGTCACCCACCCTTGAGGCAGGAACCATGGCATCCACGGTCCCTGGAACAGACCTAGGAGGAGCAATGTTGGCTGCTCTTTGGCTGTGGCCATACAATTCATGACAGCAGGCAGGAGATCTCTTCCCCTTGTTCCACCCGACACGTGCTCAGGTTTGAAGCCGTGAGCATCGCCAGCTGACGGCCTTGTTGCTGATGGTCTGTTGTCACCCTGGCTTATGGACGTTAAAACAAAATTCTGTCTTCCTCCTTGAGAGCCTCTCCTTGCTGAGTGTCATCTGCTTTTTGTTTTGTTTTGTTTTTTAAGATTTACTTATTTTTATTCAGTCCCAGCAAGGTAGTCTAGTGGCTAATGTCCTCGTCTTGCACACACTGGGATCCCATATGGGTATCAGTTCATGTCACAGCAGCCCCGCTTCCCATCCAGTTCTCTGCCTGTGGCCTGGGAAAGCAGTCGAGGATGGTCCAAAGCCTTGGGATCCTGCACCTGTGTGGGAGACCTGGAAGAAGCTCCTGGCTTCGAATTGGTTCAGCTCCAGCCATTGCGGTCACTCAGGGAGTGAACCATCAGATGGAAGATCTTCCTCTTTACCTCTCCTCCTCTCTGTGTATCTGCCTTTCCAATAAAAATAAATAAATCTTTAAAAATTAAATAAATATATATATATATAAAGATTTATTTATTTTTATTGAAAAGTCAGATATACAGAGAAGAGGAGAGGCAGAGAGGAAGATCTTGTGTCCACTGATTCACTTCTCAGGTGGCTGCAATGGCCAGAGCTGAGCCAATCTGAAGCCAGGAGCCAGGAGCTTCTTCCAGGTCTCCCACGTGGGTGCAGGGTTCCAAAGCTTTGGGCCATACTCCACTGCTTTCCCAGGCCACAAGCAAGGAGCTGGATGGGAAGCGGGACTGCTGGGATTAGAACCAGTGCCCATATGGGATCCTGGGCGTGTAAGGCAAGGACCTTAACCACTACGCTACTGCACCAGGCCCTATTTATTTTTATTTGAAAGGGTTATCAAGAGACAGAGACAGAGAGCGAGATTGTCCATCTGCTGGCCAGAAAGGCCAGGCTGGCCCGGAGCTTCATCTGGGTCCTAATGCCCCCGAGCTGTCCTGATACAGGTTAATCTTGCCCAGTTTGGCCAGGGGGTGCCCCAGACACTCGTGTTTGCTCCAGCTGTCTTCTTTTCCCTACATTTGGGTTGCCAGATCAGCAAGTTGAAGCAACAACTGCAGAGGACAAAGCTGAGCCGCAGCGGGAAAGAGAAGGAGCGCGGGTTCCCGCTGCCAGGAGACCATGCTGTGAGGGGAGTACTACGGGTAGGTCTCCCCCAGTCTCTCCCCGGCCCACACTGTTCCATCTCCTTCCATGGAGGCCTCCCCAGGACAGGTGGCAGGCAGAGTGGAGTCCTCTGTGGTCCTGCAGATCCTGAGCCCTGCCACGCTTGCATGCTTGTGGCTTAAGTAGGTGGCAAGGCGAAACTGTGGATTAGACTGGGCACTCACCGCCTGGCATGAAGGGGCCTCCTGCTACTCTGAACGTCTCTGTCGCCCACCCCTGCCCCAGACACCTGAGTCACTGACTGAAAGTACACATGCACCTCCCATAGCACCTGGACACCAGGTGGACCTGGGCGACCTTGACTGCCCCCAGGTCCTCATTCATGCACCTGGTTCTGCTGTCCAGACATGACCACCAGGCCCTGGCCGGCACCTGTGACAGCCGTGGAACTTGGCCGGCTTTGGTGACTGCCACATTTGCTTCCTCCTCAGGCGTCCCCTCCCAGCTTCCCCTCAGGGACCCCTGTCCTGCGGCTCAGCCCTTGCCTGCACAGGAGCCTGGAAGGACTTAACCAAGAGCTGGAGGAGGTGTTTGTGAAGGAGCAGGGGGAAGAGGAGCTGCTGAGGGTGAGTGGTGGCTGAGCCCGGAAGGCAGCGCTAGACAGTGGCTGGCTGGGCCTGCGTGCGGGCAGAGGGATGCCACACGGGTTATGGCTGTCTGAACCACACCAGCAGTAACCTGCAGAAGGAGCCAAGGGGACTGACTCCAGCCGGGGGGCGGGGGGGCGAGGCAGGGGCACGAGGTGTAGCCAGGCAGGTCTCGGTAGTGATGAATGGACAGAGACAGACTAGTGGGGGAAGAAGGGAATGTCTCAGTTGGCAGGACTGAGCTGAACATCATTCTTGATGTTCCTTGCACACTCGGCACTCGCCTGTGCCCTGTCACCACCTCCCCTCTGCCTGCACCTGATGACAGATCTTGAGCTGTCCCTGTGCGGCCTGTTCCCACTGCACTCCTAGGCAGCCCCACAGCTTTTCTTTTGACACAGTGCTACTGGAGGCTGCACACTCCTCAGCATACCATTCCTCCCAGATGGGGTCCATTTCAGTTTGGGTATAGGCAGGCTTTGAGCTACACCCAAACACATGCTCCCTTGGACATGTAAAACCAGATGGGCCAGGGGACTTAGAGTGGGGTCATGGCCTGCATGCCTGTTCAGCAGTGTTCACAGCACATGCAGCAAGCACCAGCATGGCTTGGCCGACCGTGTGCCCACAGCTCATTCCTCTCTTTGCTCCTGGAGCCAAGCGCATAGGAGACTCCAGCCCTCCTGATGCTGATGGCTGAGCCAGGGTAGGGGGTTGGGGGAGCAGGTGAATCTCTGATCCAGCCATACACAAATGGTCTGGCAGTTAGGGTGGGCCTGCCTCTGCTTCAGGACAGGAACAAGGATGTAGGGTGGAGGTGGCAGGAAGCAATGACCCGAGGACCTAATGTTTTGTTGTCACTGGGTGTTCTGGGGAACAAGAGCCCCGGCAAGGGGAATCCCATTGGGGTCACTGCAATGCTGAAAGCTTGACAAGATCAGGGGCTCAATGTGTTCCCCCACTCTCCCCTGTCAGATCCTCGAGGTCCCAGATGGGCACCGTGCCCCAGCTCCTCCCCAAAACGGCAGCTGTGATCATCCCCTTCTCCTCCTGGAGCCGGGTAACCTTGCCAGCTCTCCCTCCATGCCCCTGGCATCGCCCCAGCCCTCTAGCCCTACCAGCCATGAGGACCACCAGGATGCCATGGAGGAGCTGGCATCCATGCCCAACGACAAGGGTAAGCAGCGGGGCCAACCCTGTGTACAGAAGGGGCATCACACTCCAAGCAGCCGAGGCCTGGCTTTCCATTCCTATGAGAGCAAGCGCTGAGCCCTGCGGTGTCTGATTCTCACTTGAAGCCCTGTGAGATAGATGAGGTCACGGTCATGATCTAATGAGTGCTGCTGAGTTAAAGGCCACTTCTGAGCCAGCCAAGAGCTCTTCCAGGAAGGGATAGGTTTTCAAGGCAGTGAGAGGGATTCGACTTCATGTGTCAGCAGGCAGGGCACTCCAGTTGGCTGTTAGCATGCCTGGGAGTCTGTGATCGGCTGGCCCAGTCCACCTCCCGGGAATGTAGAATCGGTGGGTGACCTAATTTTTCCATGAATTCCACTGACACATGTTGTCCTTTTGTAAGCTCCTCAGTGTTTTCCCAAGGTAGAGTACAAAACAGACAGGGCCCAGTCAGTCCCACTGCTGCCTTCTGCCTTATCCTGCTCACCCCCAAGACGTGCCCAGGGGCATGGAGGTCTTCCCCTGCCCCCACCATGACTCAGCCTGGCTGTCCTTGCAGCATCCTCTCCAGGCTGCCCAGCCTTCCTTGAAGACCGCAGCCCGTCTCCGGTCCTTGCCTTCGCCGCTTCCCCTCGGCCCAATCACAGCTACGTCTTTAAACGGGAGCCTCCAGAGGGCTGCGAGAGAGTGCGTGTGTTTGAGGAGGCCACGTGAGTACCTTGAATGGTTGGGGGCATGGGAGGGATGAGACTATGAGACGAACCCCTGAGTGTTCATGTCCACGCCCCCCCCCATCCCACCCCACACCCCAACAGACCTTCAGTCTGGCCTCTCTCCCCCATCCTCGGGGTGCCGGTGAAGCTAGGTAATCAGCATTACAGTTTTTCCGTGATCGGACCTGTTGACATTACCTCCTCTGAGCACTTACATCTTTGCTTATCATTATCTCCATAGAAACCTGCTCTCTGCCCACATGCCAGCCACATGCGCAGTGGGAACTGGAAAGGAAAGAGATCTGAAACCTAAGCCCTTTGTTTCTGTCATTTTTTTTCCACTTTCAGAAAGAAAGGGAGAGAGCGAGAAATAGGGATTGCCCCTGAGTCCAGTCTTCCACCCTTTGGCTGTGACATTTCAAGTGCCTTGAATTCCCAGACAGAAATTTCCAGTCCTTGCAAGGATGGGCTGTAGCATATTCCCAGTCCAGCATGGCTCGTTCGGAAGCCATCCTCCTCCCGATTGCTCTCCAGTTCTGTGTCGTCAGCAGACACCCGAGAGCCAGTCTTTGCACATGCAGCACTCTCTCAGCGGGCACCATGCCACATGCCCCCCTCTTCCCCAGCTTAGCTCTGTCCAGGGCGAGATTCCCACTGGAAAGCCGTGGTCTCTGCTGCACTCAGGAAGTTAATCATGGGGTGTGAGGGCAGACCTCGCCAGGGTTGGGCGGCAGACACTGAAGGCCATTTGGATCCCCAAATAAGGGAGAGGACAGCCCACGTGGTGACCCAAGTAGGTGAGTCAGAATCAGAGCGGAGGAAATTATGGCCACCGGAGATTTGATCCCCATCATCGCTGTTGCCTGGACTCCCTCCAGGCCCCAAGTCCTCTAGGGAGGTGGGGAAGGAAGAGACCTGACCTTGTAGCTTAAACAGGCTCTCTCTTGGCCTCTCCCTTGACCCACACTGTTGGTGGGCGATGACAGCGCGGAACTGTTGGCAGTCACTGGGAAGTTCTTTTATTTAAGGGACCTTGGCCACATTGCTCTCTTCCTAGATGCTGTCCCCCTTTGGAGCATCTGGACCTCCCTGCTGACATTCTTAAGAGTGTCGCTTGCTGATATTTTACTCAGAAACCTTCCTCCATCAGGGGACACCTTGGCCCTGTGGAGCGTCAGTGCAGGTCTGTCTCTGCCCCCTGCTTCTCACCCTGTGCCAGATCTCTGCCCTCTCCTTATACCCCACTCTTCCTCCTGGACCTTGGAATGATTAGAATCTAGAATTAACATTAAAAAGCTACCCACCTGGATTTTAAGTGCACCTTTCTGTATGTATGTCATACATTACCCAAAAGTGAAAAAGCGGGTGGCCGTCGGGCACAGGGGCTAACGGGACACTATGTCCCATGTCGGAGAGCCTGGGTGTCAGACCTGGCTCCACCTCCAATTCCAGCTTCCCACTGGTGTGCACCGGGAACAGGCAGGTGATGGCTCACATACTCGGAGGGCCAGACTGAGTTCCTGACTCCTGGTTTTGCCCTTACCTAGCCCGACTGTTGGTAGACCTTTGGGGGTTAGCTAGCTCTCTGCTTTTCAAGTAATAATTATAACAGATTTTATGCGTTCCATGGGTACTATTCCAATAAAGGGAACAGTGAAAACCATGAATGATAAGGGATCCATCATCTTCCTATATGTTCATCTTCATAGCTGGCATCCTCCAGGCCCTGGCTTCTCAGTCTCTTGCCCTCTGCACATGCTCAGACCTGCTTCTTGTGTTTTATTATCGTCTGTACTCAGGGTCTCTTACACCAACTCCCTTCATCCTCTCATTCTCCCTAAATGATTGGCATGCTAGCCAATGATGATTCTTCTCACACCGAATGTGAGACAGACGTGGCCGACCCCACACTGGTGAGCGAGCGCCTGGCTCTCCTCCACAGGGGGAGCTGCATTGTTCACAGTGGCCACCCTTCTCCTCTCCCAAAGTTTTGACAGTGTGTTCAAAGCCAGGAGAAGGATGTGGGGAGGGGTGGTAGCCCTCCCAAGATGTTTGGAGATGTTTGGCACCGGCAAGAGATATTTTTAGTTGTCTCGGCTGGGAGGAAGGAGGTGAGGCCAGTTCTGCTGGTACCTGGGGGCCAGGACCAAGGATACCAGGATCCTAGAGGGTCACTGCCTGAACCTCTGCCTTCAGGCAAATGCTCAACCCCTAGACACACCGCTGATGAGTCCTTCCAGGTGAGGAGTCCTGGGTCCCATCCACTGTCACAGTGCTGGGGTTCTTCCTGAGCGGCCCCATCCCTGCGGTTGCTGGCCGTGGTGCATTTCCAGCTGCTCAGCCAGTCTTGAGCCCTGAAGAGCTGAAGGGCCTGGAGACTGGGACGTTTTGCATCTTGATCAGGCTCCCCAGCAGCCTGGTCACAGCCCTGTGGCTCACCTCTCTCACCGGTATCTCTCTCTCTCTGTGCACATGTGTGTCTGTATCTATCTGCCCTCCAGGTCCCCGGGGCCTGACCTGACCTTCCTGACTTCCTGTCCAGACAAGAACAAAGTCCACTTCAATCCGACCGGCTCGGCCTTCTGCCCTGTAAGCTTGATGAAGCCCCTCTTCCCTGGCATGGACTTCATCTTCCGCAACTGCCCCTCCAGCCCGGGTTCCCCGCTGCCCCCTACCAGCCCCAGGGCCACGCCTCGGAAGGAGCCAGAGGCCGCCAAGGCCTCGCCACTGCCCTTCGAGCCATGGCAGCGCACGCCACCATCTGAAGAGCCCGTGCTATTCCAAAGCTCCTTGGTGGTCTGAGGGTACCACCGCCCACCCCGCGCCCCCGCCACTCACCGCAGAGACCAGTGCCTTGGTGGCAGGCCCCTTGCGAGCTCCCCTGCTGTGGGGGAGGGAGGAGCTCTTCCCTCTCGGCCTTGAGCACTTTGATTTACTGTGTCAAAGCCTTGGGTCCTCTCTCCGTGAACACCGGCTCTCCTCAGGCGAGGGAGCCTGCCTTCTCCACTAGCGGCCCAGCAGCCTCGCAGGGCTGTGGACCTGCTGTTTTTCTCACTTGACAGAAGATTTGCCCAGAAGGCCTTGTGTACCCCTGCACTCCCCCACCCAGGGGTGTGAGTCCAAATGACTGTATAGGCGGCCCCTGTTCCTGTCATGGAGCAAGCTGGCCATGAGCAAAGGAGAGGGGATAACACACATCTCCCCCCTCCTCCTCCCCCTCTTCCCCTTCTGACATGGAAGAGAGGGGCTGAAGATAGACGACCCCTCCGCAGGCCTCCCTCTGGCCAGAGGGGCTGACCAAAGCTGCCCCTGCGGGGCCCAACACTTAACCAATGCCGCTGCTGGTACAGGGGAAGCAGGTGTTTCGTCCCATGTGACATTCTCATCTCGCTCTCACCCTGACTCAAGATTGTCTTAAGCAGCAGCCTAACCCCGGGCGGGTGGTGGGCATGGGGAGAACTGGCATTCTTCCCAGTGGCGAACGGCCACTCTGCCCCCTCCACCAGGCTCAGGGCTGGGCTGGATTAGAAAAATGCCTATTTTTCTCGTATCGATGTAGAAACTCTATTTTCTCCCAAAGACACTATTTTTGCAGCTGTTTGAAGTTTGTATATTTTCCGTACCGCAGAGCTTATACAAAATGGAAGAATGTTCATGTTCGAAGTTCCTCACCTTATGTTTAGAAGTTTTTATTTTGTTTTTGGCAGATCTTGATGTTAATAGACAAAATAAATAAGTGTTCCCAGCAGCCTGCAGTTGTGTTAAATACATGGGTGGGAGAGTGAAGGTGTCCCATGGGTTGCCTGGTGTCCATCACCAAGCCAAGGAGGTTCCCTTAGCACAGAATGAGGTGGATGTGGCACATGATGGCCACAGGGTTGCTGGCCTCGGGACACCGTGTCTGAGCTCTTATCATGTGCTCCGCTTCTGATCCAGTTCCCTGCTAACGCACCTGGGAAGCAGCAGAAGGTTGGCCGTGCATGGTGTTCCAGGCTCCTGGTCTCAGCCAGGATTTGCAGCCATTTGGCGAGTGAACTAGAGCATAGATCATTTCTCTGTCTCTTCTTCTCTTTCACTCTTTCAAATCAATAAATTTGTTAGAAGAACATTCAGAGGAAAATGGAAACAAATGTTTATATTTGTGCATAAAATGTTGAAATCCATGTCTAGTGTTCTCATAATGTGCTTTTCCATGGATGAGACCACTCTTTACACACACAGGACTTTCAGTTTCACACCAACACAAGTTTATCAATTTCATTTTTCCTGAGTATTTATAAGTCCTTCCATAAACAGCAGACCCATATATGTTGGTCCAGTGAAAGGTGTGATGGGTTCTGGAGTGAGGAACTTACCTATTCTTTCATGAGTCTGAAAAAAGAGATACCCAATAGGAAACAGAGGTGGCCCAGAGTGGGCAATGTGATGATGGTGTGCCCCTGTGTTCGGCAAGGAATTCGAATGAGAACAGGTGACTGCTGTCAGGTGGCATCTGTGGTCACAGCAGTGGGGAAGCTCCCATTCTTTCGGGGACCCTGTCCACGACTGAGTGCCCATAGCATGGTGCCACCCCAGAGGGTCTTCCAGCAGTCTCCCCATACTCTTGGGCTTTGTGGCCTAATGGGAGTAAGCACCCCAACATTCTGACGGTACCCTGGAATTTACAAAGCTGTTTCCCAAAGAACACATTGTCTCCAGCATGAGGGTAAAAAGTTGACCACTCCGGGACACTCACAGCACAGACAGCCACATTTGGTTCAAGATCGCAGCACACACTCTGAAGCCAGGCTGTTCCAGCTGCTATGGTTGGCTTGGGGAGCACCATCCACTGGGCTCACATCACAGCTATGACAATCACCCAGTGAAGGACATGTGACAGGTCTCCCTGTAGTCGGGAGGGAAGGATAAAAAGCTGTCTTCCCCCAAAGACACACAAAGCAGGAGAATGAGGCTGAGACATCTGATCACTTGGATCCAATGCTGGGTTTCTAAGCAAAGCCCTCACCACGTGGTGTAGTCCCATTAGCAAGTTTGACGTAAGCCCAGTGAACCACTGGAAGTATCGCTGGCAAAGAGGCAGAGCTGGTTCAGAATATACGTCTCATCCCACTGAGCAACAGAGCAGCCCCAGCCCCCACGAATAAAAAGAAGCCAGTGGGCTGGGGCCAGACCCCATCTTCTCACTCTCTTGTCCCTCCTCCTGGCAGATGCTAGCGCCCCAGTGAGTCAAGCCCAGAGTGATGGGTGTGGTGCTGCCCTGTGTTTCCTTCCTTTGCCTGAGACCATGCCAAAGGCCCAGCCTGCTGGAGGACAAGGAGCCGTAAACTAGCAGCCCGAGATGGGGGTCTCGCGGGACTGGGGCGAGGAAAAGGGATGGGGTCCGCGTTGTGTTAGAATTGGTGCCTGCAGACGGAGACACAGCATTGGGATGAAGGAAGAGGGTAGCCCAGGAGCTGGCTGCATTGTTGATGATGCTGCTAAGGCCTGGAGGAGAATGTGGTAAGCTCCCGTTTCCACTTCCTGGGAGTGAGCAAGGAAGACCAGCGTTGAGAAACAGTCATGACTAATAAATAACACACCTTGAACCGGGCAAGAAGCACTTTCACAAACAAGCCCATCTGACCATCAGCAAAGCCAACAGATCACACAGGGCGGCTGTCAGTCATTATTGTACAAACGTGGTCCGGAGCTTGGGTAGCACGCGTGGGTCACCCTCAGGGACACCGCTGGGCCTAGCGGTGTCCACTCACTGGCTGCAGCAATGTGCCAGGAGGAGAATCGTTCCTGGGAGCCGGGGCCTGCAAGCAGCCCAGGAGAGGCGCTGGCGCTGGACAGCCGCTAGAGGGCGCCGACGCTCCACGAAGACTTCCTCCAACGCTAGCCCCGCCGCGGAGCGGCCCAAGACTCTCATTTGCTCTGTGGTCTGCGCCGCCCACCTAGAGTATCTCAAACCCCGCAGCCAATCGTTGAGCTCCACATCCCCCGACGCCATCATTCCACGACGAGGGACTTCCTAGGGCACCCCCCAGGTCTCCGTGTCATAGGCGTCCTCGGAGATGCCTGATCGGAACATCTCGAAGGAGAGGTTTTATACTCAGGCTGCCCGCTTCCTTGGCCACCCGGGAATGGAGCCAAGTTCCCAGAACCCATATTTTTTTCTAGGAAGTGGTTGTTGGTTTCTGAGGCGGTTCCTCCTCGGCAGCCCTGCACTGGCAGCTGTGGCGGTGACTGCGGGGCCCTCCTGAGCGGCGGTCGCATGCAGCTCCTATGAGGCCGCCGGTCGGCGATGTCCGACTCGAGCTGTCGCCTCCGCCGCCGCTGCCCGTCCCGGCTGTGAGCGCGTCTCCCGTGGGCTCCTCCGGGCGTCTCATGGCCGCCAGCAGCTCTCTGGTGCCCGACCGGCTGCGCCTGCCTCTTTGCTTCCTGGGCGTCTTTGTCTGCTATTTCTACTACGGGATCCTGCAGGAGAAGATGTGAGGCTGGCGCGGGGAGTCCGACCTGCCCCTGGTCCTGCCCGCTCGCCCCGACCCGCGGCCTGGTCCCCACTTCTCCCGCACCCCGGCCCGGGCTCTGCTCCTCCTGCTTGGCCCTCTTGCCTTCCGGCATCCGGCTCGCTGCCTGTGCGGCCGAGCTGAACCTCCCAGCGCCCCGCTGGGCCTCCGGTCCCCCGGGACTTGGTTATTTATTTGTGTTCCTTTAGCCGTTACTTCCACAGCGGGCTCCAAGGGTCTTAACAGTCTAAGACGTCTGCCTCCAGGCAGGTCAGAACCCGGAGCCTTGACCCGAACCAGCTACTGACCTCTTGCTACTTGCAGGCAGCCTATTCTTTGGGCCTTTGCCTTGCTGCTGAACACCCCCCTGCAGCGCCCCCCAAAACTGCCTTCCTGGCGCGTCTCACCATCCAATATAATGTGTTTTCTTTCCTGAGACTGTGAGACCAGCAAGTCAGGTTGTCTAGCTTTCTACATCCAATAAACTCGGGTGGTTTTGTATAGGAGAATGTCAAAGCCCTGGCTGTAGACGCAATATACTCATTTCCGCCTTTTCTTCTGCCTTCTTAGAACAAGAGGAAAGTATGGGGAGGGAGCCAAGCAGGAGACATTCACCTTTGCCTTCACTCTGGTGTTCATCCAGTGTGTGATCAATGCTGTGTTTGCCAAGATCTGTGAGTACCCAGTCCGGAGGGTGTTCCGGCCAGGGCCTGGCCATCGGGGGTGTCGGTTCCATTTCAGCATTGAACTTGCACGACCTCCGTCTTTTGTGCTCATACACATCTCCCTGTGCAGTCTCTGAAGCTGATGATTTTGAAATGGGGAATAAAATACTAGATCCTTGTAAATTAGACCAACTTCTAAGTCGGGAAGGGATGGAGAACGGATCTTCTGATTCCAGATCCCCACTGAGAACACTGGAAGCGTTTTTGTTGTTTTTCTCCCCTTTTTTTGCTTTGGCTGGCTTTTGTGTGTCGGCTTCAAACAGGCCGTGAGCTTTTCTTTGTTGTCAGCCACAGGGCTGATGGGTCTGTGGAACCCAAGAGGCCCCAGCTCGCCGCTGCGTGTGGGGTGGGTTAGGCTGAGGGTGGAATGGCGGAGCGGAACAACTTCTGGGGTTCCAGCCCAAGAGGTGGGAAGTAGCCTGGGTCTTGTTTGGCAGGCTGCAGCTCAGACGGGGCTTCCGCTTGGGCTCAGCCGTCTGTCCTCACCCCACCAGGCTTCCCTTGTATGTTTCTCTCTCTTTTTGTTTTTTTTGTTTTTTATCTTCTCCCAGTGATCCAGTTTTTTGACACTGCCAGGGTGGATCGCACACGGAGCTGGCTGTATGCTGCCAGCTCCGTCTCCTATCTCGGTGCCATGGTCTCCAGCAACTCGGCTCTGCAATTCGTCAACTACCCAACCCAGGTGAGTCCCTGGGGGCGAGAGGCGGGGTGGCGGGACAAATGTCTGAGGAAACCTGAAGGTTCTCCCCTCAGACAGTTGGTGTGGACGCAAGGCCAGCAGCCCTGGGAGGCCTAAGAAAGTCAGCTTGTGCAGGCCCTTGGAGCTGGGGGCTAGTGGTGGTGGGATAGACCCCTGTAGGGCTGCTTGTTCCGGCTAAGTATGCTGGAGGCCACAGCTGCTCAGAACCTGTTTGCTGCATTTACTTTCAGGTCCTTGGCAAATCCTGCAAGCCAATCCCAGGTAAGCTGAAGGAGCTGCTCTCCCGCTCTGCCAGAGCTCTGTGTCCCTGCAGGCTTCCTTCTCCTGCCCCAGCTGCCCAGCGGGCCCCATCACTTCACTTCCTGTGCTGTGTGTGGCTGGCAACCCTTAACCGGAGCCAGAGGTTAACCTGGTCAGCTGCACAGGGTCAGTGCTGCGGCTGACCTGTGCGTGTGCACCATCACCATGCTGTTCCCACCCTCCCCGGGATATCTGCTGTGGACTTTTCACCTTTGTTCTCTGCCTTTTCCTCACCTTACACTCAGCTGTGTTGCACAATCATTGTCCTCATGTAGGTGCCAGCCCAGCACTCCTCTCACTCCCTGCAGCCCCCTCCTTCCTAGACACCCTTTTCTTCTGGAAACTTCTTTTGAGTCCTAGGAGAAGGGCACTGGGGTCATTGATTCTTGGGAGTACCTGAACATTCTGTTGTGTTCTGTTGCAGTCATGCTCCTTGGGGTGACACTCTTGAAGAAGAAGTACCCGCTGGCCAAATACTTGTGCGTGTTGCTCATTGTGGCCGGGGTGGCCCTGTTCATGTACAAACCCAGGAAAGGAGTTGGGGCAGAGGAGCACACCGTGGGCTACGGAGAGCTGCTGCTGGTATGCGGCCCCAGCTTTCCCAGTCCTGTACCACGGGATGGTCAAGAAGAAACAAAATGAAAAGTTCATTTTGGCATCCAAAACAGAAGGAGGGGTGTTGGGAAACACATGCATGGTTTTTTACACTTCACCTTTTCCTGCACTTCACAAAGTCCCCTCAGGAAGTTGTTGCGCCCCTTGCTTACCCCAGGTTCTGCTCTTGGCTGCAGTGCCCCGGCTCAGCTAAGGCCGTAATAGTGGAAGCCTAAACACTTAACCACCCTCGGCTCCCTTTCAGAGGACAGAGGGAAGGTGTTGGGTGTCTGGTGTCTCCTCTGGGGCCAGCCAGGAAACCCAGAGGTCAGCATCAGAATACAGCAGGGGCTGCTGCTTACATACGAGGGTCTGAAGCAGCACTCGTCCGTGGCCAGGAGAGTCCACATCCCCGGCTGAGGAAGTCGGGCCACAGATGCTGTCCTCTTGAGCCTTGTACTCATGACTAGAGGTTAACCTGAGGTGGCAGAGAACATTCCAGCTTCCCACACCTGCACCACAGCAAGGCGTTGTGTTGGAAGTGGTGGGTTTCCTGCCCTTGCTAGTGTTACAGTTACGGATTGGGTGTGGCTGTAAGGCTAGAGCCTAGGGGTGGGGGAGCAGAGCCTCGTGTGCCCATGGTTGTGTTCTGTTCTGAGGTTCTGTGTCCCTGGTCAGGAAGGGGCCTGCTGGTTACCGTCCTGCCTGCTGCCCCTTTTCCTTCTCAGCTGCTGTCTCTGACCCTGGATGGGCTCACAGGCGTTTCCCAGGACCACATGCGGGCTCATTATCAGACTGGCTCCAACCACATGATGCTGAACATCAACCTTTGGTCGACACTGCTGTTGGGAGCCGGTGAGACCACTGCTGCTGTTCTTTGTGTGTGGCACCAGGGGGCGGTCTGTCCTTGCTTCCTTCTTGGCCCAGCTGCCACTTGCTGACTTAGTCTAGGCTGCAGGCCTGAATTAGTTCCAAAATACATTTCCCTCCAAGCCCTGAGAAAGCTCCCTGGGAAACCAATGCCAGCAGGATCTTCTTGCTGCTCGTTTCCATCACACTGTGGGTCTGACCTGTGCCAGGTATCGTGGGAAGACACACAGCGATGGCACGCAGGAAGATCCTGGGGGCTTTCCCTGGTGTGAGGGAGGTGCGATGTTGGCAGAAGACTCACAGTTCACAGACTTGGGTGTATACCAATCCAATTCAAACGTGAATGTGGAGTGCCTGGGGTCACTGCCCTCCTGGCTCCCGATTCTAGCTTCCTGTTGGGGCAGACCCTAGAAACATGAGGCTTAGGGAATTTGGTCCCCATCACTCATATGGGATACCAGGATTAAGTTCCTTATTCCAGCCTGGCCCAACCCTGATTGTTGTAGACATTGGAGAAAGGAACCAACAGATGGGAGTGCTGTGTGCGTGTCTGCTGAAAAAAAGTGAGCACATTTATTTTGCACTGAGTACTTAATCTTTCATTTGTTTAAGATTATTTATTTGAAAGAATTAGAGAAGGAGAGACAGAGGGAAAGGTCTTCCAAATGCTGCTTCATTCCCCAACATTGGGGCCTGTGCCAAGCTGAAACCAGGATCCCAGAAGCTCCTCCGGGTCTCCCATGTGTAAATGCAGGGGCCCAAGAATTTTGGCCATCTTCCACTGCTTTCTTCAAATGTATTAGAGAGCTGGATCAGAAGCCAGCATCCGGGACTTGAAGTAGTACCCATGCAGGCTGCTGGCACTGCTGGAGACGTCTTCTGCTGCTGCACCACTGTGCCAGCCCCTCACCTTTTTGAAATGTGGCCGTAGTTGGTACGTGAAGGCTTTTAGTACTGTGCCTTAAGGCAAGTGGAAGAGGCTGCTGATGGCTGAAGGTGACCAGGACTAGAAGCACCATCGAGCTCGTGATGGATGGGTCAGTGTCTCCACAACATCGCAGGGTCTCTGCTTGCAGTCACTTTGGTAGAAATAACTTGGCCATTTCAGAAACCTCCTGTGAGTCCCGTGTCTTCAGTTCCTCTAATCCAAAAAGGATATTGTGCAGGTTCACTCTGCGTACTTTCCCGCGCCGCAGCATCCCCTTCCCCCAAGAACTTTAGCAGGGATGTGTGTGCGCTTGTGTGCGTGTGGACACCCATGAGAGGTGCCAGTCAGCGTGGCGTTGCCTCCTAGGAATCCTGTTCACCGGAGAGCTCTGGGACTTCCTGCGCTTCGCTGAGAGGTTCCCCAGCGTCCTCTATAACATCCTGCTCTTCGGCCTGTCCAGTGCCCTGGGTCAGGTGGGTGCTGCGGGGGGGCAGTCTGGGTTGCCCCTGTGGCAGGGGGTTCCTTCAGCATGGCAGCCGCCCAGGAGCCGGCCTAAACCTGCCTTTGTCTCCCTAGAGCTTCATCTTCATGACAGTTGTCTATTTTGGTCCCCTGACGTGCTCTATCATCACCACAACTCGGAAGTTCTTCACTATTTTGGCCTCTGTGATCCTCTTCGCCAACCCCATCAGCACCATGCAGTGGGTGGGCACTGTGCTCGTGTTCCTGGGTAAGTCTCCTTGGAGCAGGCGTCTCAGGCCACACACCCTCCTACACACATACACGCCCCCTTTGTCAGGAATGCTCGGTTGTTTTAGAGAAATTATTTATTTATTTATTTATTTATTTTTAAAAGATTTATTTATTTATTTTTATTGGAAAGGCAGATATACAGAGTGGAGGAGAGACAGGGAGAAATATCTTCCATCTGATGGTTCACTCCCCAAGCAGCCGCAATGGTTGGGGTGAGCCAATCCAGGAGCCTCCTCCAGGTCTCCCACATGGGTGCAGGGTCCCAAAGCTTTGGGCCGTCTTCAACTGCTTTCCCAGGCCACAAGCAGGGAGCTGGATGGGAAGCAGGGCCTTCAGGATTAGAACCAGCGCCTATATGGGATTCCGGCACGTTCAAGGCAAGGACCTTAACCACTGTGTTACCACACTGGGCCTTATTTATTTGTTTTTAAGGTTTATTTTTTATTGTGGTCAGATATACAGAGAGGAAGATCTTCCTTCCGATGATTTACTCCCCAAGTGACTGCAGTTGCCAGGGCTGAACCTATCTGAAGCCAGGAGCCAGGAGCTTTATCCAGGTCTCCCACATCCTTGCAGGGTCCCAAGGCTTTGGACCATCCTTGACTGCTTTCCCAGGCCACAAGCAGGGAGCTGGATGGGAAGTGGAGCTGCCGGGATTAGATCTGGTGCCCATATGGGATCCTGGCAAATAAAGGCAAGGATTTTAGCCACTAGGCTACTGCACAAGGCTCTTTTTTTGAGAACAAGGAGGCATTTCTGACCTATCCTCCCTAATACACATTTCATCTTAACAATTTCCATCAGAGAAACTTCTCTACGCCCTGAGCCGACAGAATTACTCTGCTCCCTACTGACTTGGGCCACTGTAGGTGAGCAGATGGAAATAGCTTAGTGGTTTTGACTGAGGTTTCCTTCAGTTGTGTGTACACACACAGACACACCCACGCACATGTGCAACGACACACTTGAAAAGTTTGGGGAAAAATTGATAAAAAGATAAGGGTTTTTGGACATGAAGATTTTTGAATCCTAGTCTTAGTGTTTTCATTTTTAAAGATTTATTTTTATTGGAAAGTCAGACATATAGAGAGGAGAGACAGCGCTTTCCTCTGCTGGTTCACTCCCCAGCCGGCCACAACAGCCAGAGCTGAGCCGATCTGAAACCAGGAGCTTCTTCCAGGTCTCCCACGCACATGCAGAGTTGCAAGGCTTTGGGCCGTCCTCGATTGCTTTCCCAGGCCACAAGCAGGGAGCTGGAAGGGAAGTGGAGCTGCCTGGATACGAACTGGTGCCCATATGGGATCCCAGCACTTGCAAGGAAAGGACTTTAGCCACTAGGCTATCATGCTGGGCCCACAGTGCTTTCATAACACATTTTTGCATGAACTCTTTGAAGACCCCCTCTTATGTGTCGTCAGTGTCTTGGTAATTTCATTTAAGGCCATAGGGGTTGTCCTGGGAGTTGGAGAAAGCTGCTGCTATTCTGAAGTGCGTTGTCTCTGAAGCCACCATGTTGGAGGCTCAGGCTTGCTCCCCCTCCCCCATTGCAGCCAGCTTTCATTTCCCACTTGAGCCAAGTCCCTTGTCTCTCCGTAGGTCTCGGTCTTGATGCCAAGTTTGGGAAAGGAGCCAAGAAGACGTCCCACTAGGAAGCGAGAGACTCCCTGCGTTCCAAGAGTGTTTTAAGTTATTGTCTCACACGGCGGCATCTCGTAGGAAGACAGACTCAATAGTGATGAGGGACTGGGTTCCGGTCTTTTTTTTTATTATTATTATTTTATCTAAGCAAAATCACATATTCTTTAAAAAGCACCTGAATCTTGACAAGGCAGAGTTGGTGTTTTCCGTTCTTGACCGGGAGCATGACCTCACACACGAAGAGGAGAAGGGGGAGGCAGGGCCAGCTGCACTTGGGAGGGGGTTGCAGAGATGGTGGGTGATTCCCCAGGAGTCTGCAGCTGTGCCAGCAGTCCCTGTTCTGGGGGATGAGGCCCTGCATGTGTCAAAACAGGTGGCTGGCTAGTGGAAGCATGGGGTGTGAAAATCGCTTCTCTCTCAGAGCTCAGGGAGGGCTGGGGGGCTCGAGGGGGCGGCGGCACACACGGCACCAGAGAGCCAAAGCTTGTTCTCTACTTCAGAGATGTCCCAAGCCTGGGGGGCGGCAGGACCCTGGGGCTTCCAAGACTGCCGTGTTTCCTCTTCCCATCACCCCTGCTCCAGCGAGAGCTGAAACCTGTGTGTGCCGGCGGCGGGAAGGGCTTCAGCAGGCCCGGGGTGGACTTGCCTTGCAATTCGCACCATCGCCCGGGAGCCTGCCTTCATCCCTCCCTCTCCTCATGGCCCCCCTGAGCTGCTCCAGCAATGCAGCCCATGCCAAGGGGCCCATGCCAGCTTCTGCCTGTTGAAAGGGATGTGCTGGCGGGAGGCACGGTGCCTGAGTCCTGGCAGAGTCACTGCCGAGAGTTTTCAGGGTGGTAATGGGGCGAGAAGGCGGGGCCTGGAGCCCAGCCACCTGCCCACTGCTGCCTTCAGAGCTGGAAACCACAATCCTCCCAGGACCAAACTTCACACATGAAAGTGCATCTCCACCAGCTGCAGCTCTGCCGCCATCTGTTCCACAGCCCCGGCCCCTTGGCTCTGCAGAGGGGAGCTTGGCCTCCTTTCTCTGCCACCTCCCCTTGTCCGCCTGGCACTCTCCAGGGGCCTGGGTGTCGCTGCTGCCCTGCCCACAGAGGGCCCCTCGTGTGTTCATTTCCTCCTTGAGAGGTGTGCTGTGCATGTATCTAGCCTAGCTCCCCGTCTCTGCCCCCTCCTCCACCCCTCTTTTTTTAAACTAAGTGCATCAATGAGCTGCTTGCCTGCTAATTCCTCCAGCTGTCTTCTCTGGATTAGGTAAGTGGGTAGAGCATGTGATTGGGCCGGGGACCTGTGGCTTTAACAGACATCTTCCCAGCTACCAGCCCAGTCTCCTCACCTTCCTCCCCCAGCCTTCTCCCTACCCCTGTCTCAAAACTGGCTAGAGCTAGCCACCATGAGCAAGATGGCATTTCTAATCATCCGCCATGGCTGCCTGTGCCAGCACCCTCATCTCTAGAAGGAGCTGTCCTGCCGGCAGTGGGCAAGGAGCCCAGTTTTGGTCAATGGATTGGGTCCCCGGCCATTCATCTTTACACTTACTCTTCTGGTTGCCACAGCCTGTACATTGCTGGGCGTTCAGTACGATGCATCGTCGCCCTCCTGGGTTCACGGTGTGAATCAGACCCAGGGAAGCAGATCATGGCATCTGAGTCCCGCAGGGACCCACAGAGGGAAGGTGTCTGGGCAAGGTGAGGCTTGAGCTGCAGAGTGTGGGAAGATGAAAGGGAAATGGAGCTTTGGCCCCATTACCAAACAGGCAGGGGGTTTTCAAACCGCCCAACTGCCCACCTTGTCCCCACATGCCTGTTCGTGGCCAGCTCAAGGGGGCACCTGTGGCAGTAGAGTGGCTGTCAAGATGGTGTAGCTGGTTAATTTGATGGCACCTGAGAGTGTCCCGTAGGCTGGCATCCTAACCTGCAGGATCACAGGAATGCAAAGTGCCAAGTTGGACTCAAGTCAGTAATACTGTGTGCTTCTAACGGCTGGCACACGGGAAATGGCAGACAAGTTCAAACAAAGGCACCACTGATCACCAACCAGGGGCAGCCCGATGCCACAGGCTTCCAGAGTTGAAAAAACTTAAGTTAATTCTCAGCTCTGTGAAGGAAGGGGCAAGTGCAGACCTCCCAGGCCCTGTGCTTTTAGCTCTAAGTGCATGGCACTTAAGTCTATTTTGGTCCAAGTGGCAGGCCCACAGCTGAGCAGTCTCCCCACTTCCTGTGGGCCTCTTAGCCCCTGGCACAGTGTGACCCACAAATGTGACTCAGGGTGCAGTGGGGAAGGCCGGTCTGGAGCTACACATAGAAAAATCACGTCTTCTAAAAGTGTGCAACGTGGCAGGAACCGACTGTTTAGATGCCCAATAAAGTGAGGTATTTGCAGATGGACTTGATCTCAGAGTGGAGCAGAGATCTGCACTTTTGGGGAATGGAGAAGATGTGGGAAGGAAGGCCAGGTGCCCCCTGGTAGGCTCCCATGTGTGTCACGGCGATATAGGGACTCGGGGGGGGGGGAGTCCCTGAGTTTTAGCTGGGTCTGCAGTGGCAAGCTGGTCTCCTGAGGCATGTCACCAGAGCCATCTGGGCCACTTACCAGGAAGAGTGTGTGGTGTGTGTTGAGTGAGCCATGCTGGTCATCTCCTTGTGTCCTGGCAGGGAGCTCGCCCTGGGGCACTGCGGGCTTGTGTGGCCCTCCCCTCGGTGAGCACGCCAGCCATCTTCAGGAACGGAGATCTGTTTAAGGGGCTCCTTTCCCAAAGCACATCAGCACACGACACTTAGTCCTGGAGCCCTGCTGGGGAGAGGCGAGCCAGGAGACCATCTCCCTAGCCCTGGGACCGAGCCTGGAATCTGCCAAGTGACTCCGTGGGCAGGGGAAGGAAGTGGGGCGGCACAAGTGAGGCTGACTTTGCTTCTTGCTCTCAGAGTACAGGGAGCTCTTTAGCTCTCAAGTGAGCTACACCAGTGGTTCCCAGCTGTTGAGATATTCTGGAAATTTCCAAATTTAGGGGAATGATACAAGTGTGCTAATTTCGTGTCCATGTAAGGATGTTTATAGAGAATTTCACCATTATGGTCTACAAAGAGACATTTTAACTCGCCCCAAAACAATTTTTTAAGGAAAAGCTCTACAGAATAAAGAAGTTTTCTTCCAAGAAGAGTATAGTTGGAAATTCTGTCACTACATGATGAGATACGTGCAGCTGTTAACTGCCAAAAGTGTCCGCGACATGCCATGTTACTCTTCCTGCAACCATGCAGTGCCTGTCACCCATGGCTTGCTACAGCGTGCCCTCTGTGGGCTGTGTTGTGCAGTGCAGCCCCCACGCAGCTGGGCTGTAAGGCACCTGCTGACCAAGATGGCAGCAATGCGGGTGAGGTTTTTTCCTTCATTGAGACCATCCCGAAAGTCCGAAAACCACCCCTCAACCCCCATCTGCTTCTATCTTCCTCCCTTATGGAGAGACAGGACCCAGCAGCCTGCCTGGACTGGGAGAGATTTCCAGGAAGGGCTGCGGCTGAGTCAGGGCAGCCTGACCTACAGCTCCCAACCTGTGCTTGCACCCGCAAGGCTGCCGCCTACTGGTGAAGAGCGAGCCCTGACAGGCACCATCCTGCCCCAGAGCCAGTGGGCTCTGCCTGTCCTTCTGGTAGGACAAGCAGGAAGGGACACACAGAGGAATGAAGAGGCCTCCTCGCAGAGTGCCTTCCACCCAGTGAGGGCCCAAGGGCTGGTGGGTTTTCTGTGAAGCCGTGCCCGACTCCCCGCCGCTGCTGGCAGGTGTAAGGGAAGGAAGTGTTCAGGCAGAAGTCCCCTGAACTTGATGGGATGGGGCAGTGCCACATATCAACCCAACAGGTTCATGGTCAGGATGGATTTCTTTAGGTCCCCCCAACACCCTCATCAAGAGACTCGCTCGCTGAAAAGTGATTCCCCACATGGAGCTGTGTGCCTGGGCATCTCTGTGTCTCCTCCCGCCCAGGAAGCGAGGACGCAGGAACACCCAGGAGAGGAACCCATCTCCTCACGCACCATCTAAGGCTGCCAGGTTTAAGCAATAAAAATGTGAAAGGCCAAACTGCATTTGATTTTATTATTATTTTAAATGTTTTATTTTGAATTTTATGGTACAGTTTCGTAGAGTCTGGGATTTCCTAACCCCCAACTGATTTTCCCCATGTTGTTACAATAGTACAGTCCTTCATAAGGAATCATAATTCCATCTGTCTATTATTTCAGTGTGCCCCGACATTGCTGTCAGTCCAGCATCCCATTGGCTACAAATTTCCAACATTTCCATTCGGTGCATTTTATTTTCACATAAACAGGTGACTTGAGGGTACAAGCACGTCCCTAAATTCAGGTTTAGCCCATACTCCGTATTTTACCTGACAACACTCGTGGTGGCATTCAGCCTCATCGCCACACTCGCTGGCATCGCCACCTGTCACCTCGGGGCCCAAGGCTTCCTTCCAGGGGCTGTTTTCCAGCCATTGCAGGATGATGGCCAACCTAAGGCGACGGCCCGGGGAGGCGCAAGTCCCGGCCAAGGCAGCAGGGGGCGCCGTGCTCTTAAACTCGACCCCCAGGCGCGCGACCTGGGGCTCTGGCAAGGCCAAGGGGGGCGGGAGGGGAAGGTTCCGCGGCTTCCCATCTTCCCTTCAGCAACTCCCCTTCAGCCCCCACCCCACCGTGCAGAAGCGGTTTAAGAGGAACAGGATCTGAGCCTGGATCACTCCCAAGGAGCCATAGTGGCCTCCTTAATGCGGCATAAAAGCCCCCGCCTCGCCCTGCGCGCCTCCACGATCCCCCTGGAATCCTCCCTCGCACCTTCCAAGCTGGCTCTGTGCATCTCACTGGGCCACATCCACCTCACGCCCTTTGGCACCGACTGCGGGCTCCCTGAGGTGACCCCGTGCCCCGGGTGCGCTCTAGTCGGTACTTCGGCCACCTACATGCACACACCACAAGGGGTGCCGAGCATCCCGTGCACCTGGCCCTGCCTCGGACTGAAGCAGGCAGACACAGCTCTTTCTAGAAAATTCTCAGTGAGTGGGCTGGACGGGGCTTGGTACCAGAGTTCACATGTTTGCCTCTTCATGCCAAGGGGCGTCCCTTGCAGGCTTCCGTTGTAGGGCCTCTGATTTCTTCCTTTCTGAAATAGATGTTTGTTTCAAATATTGA